GCCTGGCTGAGCTATTAGTTTTTATCTCTAGGTTCCTGCCGATGCCTAGGTACTCTGCAAGGTCAAGGATTTGACTCATCTCTGGGAGAACACCCAGGACAGGGCGTGGAATGGGCCGAGGGACTTGGGCAATCACTCAGTATCGTATTCTCTTTCCAGCTATGCTGTTGAGCGAAAGATTGAACCTTTCTACAAGGGCGGGAAAGCGCAGGTAACTATCTCCACGGGCAGTTAGGGGGCAAAGGGATAGGGAATACTGAGTGGTTCCTTGACTGAGACCTCTTTGTCCCTAGCTGGACCAGACCGGCAATTACCTCTTTTGTGTCTGTGGTACCAAAGTCAACATCCTAGATGTGGCCTCAGGGGCTTTGCTTCGGAGCCTGGAGCAGGTGAGGACAGGCTAGGCAGGTGTGAGGGGCTTGAAGGGAAGGTAGCATATTCTTATGGCGCTCTGTATTCCCACTCTCCCCTTAGGAGGACCAAGAGGACATTACTGCCTTTGACCTCAGTCCTAATGATGAAGTATGATGGGTAGGGGTGGTGGGTAAGCGCTGGTACCTCCCTTCCACACTGAATTGGCAAATGTGTCTTATCCTCTGGCTGTACTGTCTTACCCTGCCCCCAGGTCCTGGTAACAGCCAGCCGGGCACTGCTGCTGGCTCAGTGGGCCTGGCGAGAAGGCACCGTCACTCGTCTGTGGAAGGCGATACACACAGCCCCTGTGGCCTCCATGGCTTTCGACACCACCTCTACACTGTTAGCTACAGGTGGGACCCCAGCTAGGTGGGGGTGCTGGAGGGCACAAGGGCAAGGACTCTGTACACCTTTACCTCAAACATTCCCACAGGTGGCTGTGATGGCGCCGTACGTGTCTGGGACATTGTGCAACATTATGGGACACACCACCTCCGAGGCTCCCCCGGTGTCGTTCAGTGAGTGGGTCGGTGGAGGAAGGGTGGCTAGAAGTACCGCCCTTGGAAGTACGGCTAATTCGTCTCTATCTTGCTCCAGTTTGGTGGCCTTCCATCCAGACCCCACTCGTCTGCTGCTCTTCTCCTCAGCCGTGGACACCTCTATCCGTGTGTGGTCCCTGCAGGACCGCTCGTGTCTGGCCATTCTGACCTCGCACTACAGTGCTGTCACGTCCCTCTCCTTTAGTGAGGATGGCCATACCATGCTCAGGTCAGCGGCTGGCCACACAGGGCTCGGGTGGAAGGGGAGGGATCTGGAACTGAGGGATCTGTTTCTCCTCAGTTCTGGCCGTGATAAGATCTGCATAGTCTGGGACCTTCAGAGCTACCAGGCCAAGAGGACAGTGCCGGTGTTTGAGGTATGGCCTGACAAGCCAGGGCCAGCGAAGGGGGCAGGGATGGGAGTCCTGGCTGTATAGGCCCTGACCCTGCTCATCCACAGAGCGTGGAAGCTGCTGTGCTGTTGCCCGAGGAGCCGGCACCTGAGCTGGGTGTGAAGAACTCAGGCCTACACTTCTTAACAGCTGGTGACCAAGGTGTGGGGAGGCTGGCCACATGTACATGAAGGGCGGGGAGAAGCCTGTGGACCTCATCCCCCAACAGCCTTGTCTTCATATAGGGATCCTCCGTGTGTGGGAGGCTGCTTCTGGGCAGTGTGTGTACACCCAGCCACAGATGCCAGGACTAGGGCAGGAGCTGACCCATTGTACCCTGGCCCGCTCTGCGGGCCTGCTCCTCACGGTCACCACTGATCACAACCTGCTTCTTTATGAGGCACGTTCCTTACAGCTTCAGAAACAGGTTAGCACTTCCTTCTGCCGGTGCAGGGATTGGGGGTTAGGCTTCCTTTCTTACAGGCCCTCACTATGACCTTCCTATCTCCCGCAGTTTGCTGGCTATAGCGAGGAGGTGTTGGATGTTCGGTTCCTTGGGCCCAATGACTCTCATATTGTCGTGGCTTCCAACAGCCCTTGCCTAAAAGTGTTTGAGCTGCAGACTTTGGCCTGTCAGATCCTCCACGGTCACACAGGCAGGTCATGCCCTCTGACATCCCTGGCACCTTAGCCTGGCTTTGACAGCTTCCCTTCCCTGCCCCCTTTGTATAGTTCATCTCTGACCACTCTTCCCCTCTCTTCCAGACATTGTCCTGGCCCTGGATGTGTTCCGGAAGGGGTGGCTTTTTGCTAGCTGTGCCAAGGTGAGACTCCATACGAGATACAAAGGAACAGGCCTCCCAAGTGAAAACAAAGGCAATGGCCCCATGACCCATCGCCTTTCTTCCATCCCTACTGTCTACAGGATCAGAGCATACGCATCTGGAGGATGAACAAGGCTGGCCAGGTGGCCTGTGTCGCTCAGGGCTCCGGACACACACACAGCGTGGGCACTATCTGCTGTTCTAGGTACTGGATCAGGACCGGACCCAGGGGTATCCAAGGAGGTAGAGGCCCAAGCCATTGGTTTCTAGCCCAGGGTGGAGAATGGGTGTGCTGGTTTGACCACACTCTGAGGCTTTCACAAGGATGTAGAACAGAGAAGAGGCCCAAGGAGACTCAGGTGCCATGGCAGATTTCTTGGAAGTGGCCTTGGAAGGTGGACAACATAGGAAGGACTTGAGACAGACAAAATGGCACTGAACAAGGTCCTGCTGGGGGAGGTGACCTTCACTAAGAGTTTGACTCTGGTTGGAACCAGTTGCTAGATGTGGTGACTCTAAGGATAGGTGGTGCAAGTAGAGGCATTGGGGGCGATGTAGACCAATCTACATCCTGAGATGATCCCTCTGGTCCTGATGATGGTCTGGAAGGCCAGAGCTTGTTATACTGCAGACAGTGTCCTTGGACCTGAACAATGTCTCCCTTTCTTGTTGGCTACAGGCTAAAAGAATCTTTCCTGGTGACGGGCAGCCAGGACTGCACTGTGAAGCTGTGGCCCCTCCCTGAAGCCCTGTTGTCCAAGAACACAGCTGTGGACAGTGGCCCAATGCTTCTGCAGTCCCAGACCACCCAGCGCTGCCATGACAAAGTAGCCGCACATGGCCTCTGGGATGGGGTGTGACTGATCCCTAGCTTGGAGTGAGTGTCTGAGTTTTACCACCTGCTCTCATCACCAGGACATCAACAGTCTGGCTGTCTCCCCCAATGATAAGCTGTTAGCCACGGGCTCACAGGACCGCACAGCTAAGCTCTGGGCCTTGCCTCAGTGCCAATTGTTGGGTGTTTTTTCCGGCCACCGACGTGGCCTCTGGAATGTCCAGTTCTCACCCACAGACCAGGTGCTAGCCACAGCCTCTGCTGATGGCACCATCAAGCTCTGGGCACTGCAGGACTTCAGTTGTCTCAAAGTAAGTGTTTCCCCTTATCCTGTTTCCCCCTCTGGTAACAGTTCATACTCATAAGGCTTGGGTTCCTCTCTTTCTCCCCTGCAGACCTTTGAGGGCCATGATGCTTCTGTGCTGAAGGTGGCCTTTGTGAGCCGTGGCTCACAGCTGCTGTCTAGGTGAGTGGGCTAGGAGAGGGCTGGGGGTGTGTAGTGGGGGGTCATGCCTCAAAACTAAGTCCTTCCGTTTTCAACCTCAGTGGTTCTGATGGGCTTCTGAAGCTGTGGACCATTAAGAGCAATGAGTGTGTACGGACACTGGATGCTCATGAAGATAAGGTCTGGGGGCTGCACTGTAGCCGACTAGATGACCACGCCATCACTGGGGGCAGTGACTCCCGAATCATTCTCTGGAAGGTTGTGAATCCTAAGGGGTGGGATGAGGCAGGGCATGGGACAGCACTGGGGCTTGTCTGATCCTAATTTGATCCCAGGATGTGACAGAGGCCGACCAGGCAGAAGAGCAGGCCAAACGGGAAGAGCAGGTGATCAAGTAAGTCTGGGCTCAGTGGCACCCGCTGCATACCCTCAGCAGACCTCTTCATGCCCACAGCACCCTTGCACGTCTCCAGCATAGCATCTCCTAGAGCCCTCAGCAGCGGTAGCCCCTGTGAGGCATAGGAAGCAGGTTGAGGTAGGACTCACACCTGTGGCTCTTGGGCCCAGCCAGTGTCTCCGATTGATGTCTTTTTCTTCTATCCCACCAGGCAGCAAGAACTGGACAACCTGCTCCATGAGAAGCGGTATCTCCGGGCACTAGGACTTGCCATCTCCCTGGACCGCCCCCACACTGTACTGACTGTTATCCAGGGTCAGTACCTGCCCCAGTGCAGGCTGGGGTTGGGATAGCCCCAGGGACCAACAAACCCTTTCTTTAAGCTGACTTCCCTCTCACAGCCATCCGGAGGGATCCTGAGGCCTGTGAGAAGCTGGAGGCCACTGTGCTCCAACTGCGACGAGACCAGAAAGGTTGTGGGCAAGCTGGAAGGGATCAGCCAGGGGAGGGGGTGACCTGGTGGGCAGAACACGGTGGAATGGCCCAATAAACCGGGTGTCTGTCCCTATACTCACAGAGGCCCTGCTGCGCTTCTGTGTCACGTGGAACACCAACTCCAGACACTGTCACGACGCCCAGGCTGTGCTGGGTGTGCTGCTGCGGCATGAGGCCCCCGAGGAGCTGCTGGCCTATGACGGGGTGCGGGGTACACTGGAGGCCCTGCTGCCTTATACCGGTATGGGACATGGCCTTAGACCCTGGGACGCCCCTGGTGGGTTCGCAGACAGCCCCCTCTTCCCCCAGCCCCAACTCCTCTGTCTTCCTCCAGAGCGGCACTTTCAGCGGCTTAGCCGGACGCTACAAGCAGCCACCTTCTTGGACTTCCTGTGGCACAACATGAAGCTGTCCCCACTCCCTGCTGTTCCCCCAGCCCTGTGAGGCACATAAAAGTTGCACTTTTCTATCTCTGCTTCTCATATGAATCTGACCAGTCTCCCCCAAAATCACTGGCCACATTGGTCCACCGTAATTTCAACTGTAGAAGTTCAAGCCCTCCCACCCCATTTCAAGCCCTCATGGCACAATGAGATTAGGTGAAATCATTCCACTTTTATTTAGAGAAAATGGGAAGTTGTGGCCCCTTGGCCCTGTCATCCATCCAGCCCCACCCTCTTGGCAGGTCTGAATCCCTGCTTTGCTTATGGTTGGGGTTGACAATACAACCTCTCTGCAGGGCTACACAAATCCTCAAAGGGAACCCAGGGTCCTTTGGTCCTGTCCCAGTGCCCTGCGGGTGATGGTGCAGCATCGGCTTTGAATGGTACTCACACAGGGGTGAGTTGGTACTACAGGGGGAACAGGCCTGTCTGCAGCCACCTTGTCTTCCCTGCCATCTGGGAGCCCTGGCCTGCCCAGGAGGGAACCCAGCCCTTCAGGCTGCAGCAGCACTGCAGGAAACAGACCTTCCTGGCCATTGTACCTACGAGAAAGGCAGGGCTTGGTTAAGGATTTACCTGATGTGCCCCTCCTGCCAGGCAGCACCTGCCATTGCTCCAACACACGCACACTGTACCTGCACAGCCACCAGCCGCGGTCTGAGGGTTCCAGCACATGCACGCGTGCCCCTGCAGGCACTGATAGCTCATCAGTACGACTGCCCTCATAGGCCTGAGTAGCACAGAATTGCATCCCTAGGGTGGGTGTTTGGGGGTCACTGGAACTGTAAGGCCAGAGTCCTGACCTTTCTCCTGGTGCCCCACTGTCACCTCCCTCCTGAGCTTGCTCTCAGCCTTGCTGCAGGCCCATTCTTAATGGTGAGCTTATGGTAGGGATGGTCTCATACCTCTGCATTGCAAAGCCAGGCCTGATTCCTGGTCCTGGCCTAGGGCTCCCTCCTCCAGGTAGGGAGCTGGAAACCAGGCCGTCTGCTGATCCTTATTCTCCACCAGCCACCAGCCTGTTCAAGAGGCCAGGAAAGGGCTCAGATGCCAAGGCCTGTACCCATCTTGGTCAGAGAGCAGATGTTTTGTTTATTTTGTTTTTGGAACTGGCCCTGAACTCTCAGAGATCCACCTGCTTCTGCCTTAGGTGCTTGGATTAAAGGCACGCGCCACCATCACCCAGTTGTCCCAGGTTCTTAATACTGTGGCCCTACCTGATGGATGTCGAAATAATACATCCAGAATTTCTTGAGCCTCTGTGTGAAAAGGCCTGTCTCTTGTGTCATGGGTGTAGAATGGCTGTAAACAGCGCATGCTCTGAGCCTCCAGGCTATGAATGGTAAGGCTGCTTGCGGGTTGAGATAACGGCTCCTCTGGTGTGGGCAGGATCACCAGGCTGGGCAGGGCAGCCAGCACGTGTGAAAAATGAGAAGACAGGATGGGAACCCCTCTCCCCACCTATGCATAGGCCAGCCCAGCCTTCTCATCCGCCCTTCCAACAAGTGCATGGGCTGGGAGAAGGGTGTATATTAGTCACCTGCCCGGAGGCAGCATAGGCTCCAGATCCAGAGGTCTGGGTGCGAAGAAGTCACTGAGCGCCGAGCTCCTCAATACGTGCTCGGAGGTTGCCAGCAGTGCCTGTACGTAGGTCTTCAGCAGCCGCAACCGCGCCAGGCCTCGGCCAGTATGCCCCCGGCGCGTCAGCAGTGGAGCATCTGCCCGGACGGAAACACACTGGGACCACGCCCCCACGCTTGTTTGCCAGACCTCCCCTGTGACCACCCTGTAACCCCTGTAGGCCTGACCAGGAAGCTTGGGAAGTACGCGGTCAGATCTCCGGAGCAGGCCCGCCTCCACCGGGAAGATTTTCTTAAGGCTCTTCTGAGGGGGAGAGGCAGGCATCAGTCTCCAAAAGTGGAGAGAACCCCAGGGAGAGGGAGGAAGGGTCCCTGGAAGAGTTCCTACAAGCAGGCAGGGAGGTCGTGTATCTAGAGGCCTCTGGATTGGGGGGTGAGCCCCCCCAGTTGAAGTAGTCCCAGTGTTACTCACCTGGAGCTGCCTGAACTCATCCCAGCTCCTGAGAACAGACGAATCACTGTCGTCTGACCAGCGCACGGAGAAGACAAATGTCTGCGTGAGGAAAAGTGGAGGTGCCATCTCCCCTCAGACTTTGTCACCTTACCCTTCGGGCAGGGGAGGAGGGCGGGCCGTGTGGTTCTACCTGGAGTCGCTCCATCTGCACCAGGGCTACCGCATGCGCTGATACCGGGTGTCGTGGACCTGCCATTGTGCCTTCTGCTGGGTGCTCGAAGGGGCTCAGAGCAGCCGGAAGAAGTGAAATGGAATTTCCCCGCACTGCCCTAAACCCGAGTCCCTGCAGAGCGTTCACACCTGGAAACTTCTCAGTTTCCTGGTTGTTCGTCAAGCACAAAATCTAAGGATTCATCACCGGAGGACTAGTGTTGGGGGAGGGGCAAGCCAGGGCAGGTGGGAGGATAAATGAAGTCCTTTGTACTGGAACTGCCACCGGGGGCCTCTCCTCCCCTAGCCAGCTGAAGAAAGGAGGTAGGCAGTTACTTGACCAAGTGCTGTCTCCGCCTCACCTGCCCCCTCGGCCTCTTCCCCACCCTGCTATTACCTCCTCCCAAGGTGTGCCTAACAGCATGGTTTTTAAATTTGCCTGTGGGCCATATGCTGCTGTCCTCCGAGCCAACTATTTCACCCCTGGGTCCTTTTAGGTCTGGTTTTTGTTTGTTTTGGGGGGGGGGGTTGAGATAGGGTTTTGCTAATTCGCAAAGGCTGGCTTTAAACTTGCGATATTCCTGCCTCAGTGTCCTGAGCATCTGAGGCTCAGACCTGTGTAACAAGGCCATGGCCATGAAACCTACCTCTTTCCTTGGTCAAGTCTTGGTATCGCCTTAATCAACTGGTTCTTTCAGAAGCATTGGAAGATGTAAGAGCAACAGGAAAGGGCTGAGTCCCTACCACTAGGGCCTCACCACCAACAGGTGGCCTGTCAGCCCTACCAACCAGAGCCGCCCTCTACTCATCCACCACAGCCGCCACCTCCTCTCACATAGATGCACACGGAGGAGCCCAACTCTGGCCAGAGGTTCCTCACAACTGGAGAGGTGGGTCAGATAAGAGCACTGGCTGCTCTTCCAGAGGACCCAGGTTCAATTCCCAGTGCCCACATTGGCAGCTCACCACTGTTTGTAACTCTAGTTCCAGGGAATCTGACATACTCACACAGGCATACATGCAGGACAAACACCAATGCACACAAAATAAGAATTAAAAAAAAAAAAGCTGGGCTGGGCAGATAATTACAGGTGGTGCACACCTTTAATCCCAGCACACAAAGGGAAGCAGAGGCAGGAGAATCTCCTGAGTTTGGGGTCAGCCTGGTCTAAAGAAAGAATTCCAGGACAACCAAAGATACACACACACACTCACTCTCACAAAATAGGAGAAATACTGAAAAATAGAAATGGGATCAGGTCAAGACAGCTTTGTCCCAAATTGTCCAACGTCTCCTCCTGTTTTAGAGCAAATCCCAGTTTCTAGCATGGTGGTGGGATACTGCCCAACTCTGAATCCTGGCCTCCATCTTCCTCCCCAGAGTTCTGTCCCCAGTGGCCTAGTGTTTCTGTAAAATGCAGATAGCCTGAGTTGGTACCTCTCCCTACAGGCCTGTGCCTCAGGGTCTCCAATTTAGGAGAGCTGTACTTCCATACTCTATACATGGTTTTCACTAGTTCGGAAATAAAATTTATTCCAGTGACTGGGTTTTCCCCGTCTTCACCCCTGGTCAAAGGCCAAAGAGGCCAGGGACAGAAGCTTGTTCCTTGTTCTGCTCAGTGCCGGAAGCAGCGCTTGGAGCAGGGTACCACTGTACAAATATTTGCAGATGAATGAATGAACACATGGAGGCAGGGAAAGGAACTCTTCCTGTGATGACCCAGGCTTTTAAGTCAAGTTCTTGAGGAGTTGCTGGTGGTGGCAGAAGACTGAAGAATTTAGCGTCATCTTCACTCAACTACATAGAGTTCGAAGTTAGCCCAAGTCACATGAGACCTTGTCTCAAAAGAAAAAAAAAGGAATACCTGCGGCTGAAATAGGCATAATAACTTTTTATTTCCAGGTTTTAGGTTGGGGACCCGCCCGCAGACTCTACTAAGGTTCCCGGGCCCCAATTACTAGGGCAAAGGTCGACCCTGGTCCTCCGGCGCTGTCTGGTCCGTGAGACCACGCCCCGCCCCGCGTTGCCAAGGCACCCAGAAGCGTCCTATGGCAGAAAAACCCAAAACTTGGCCGCTGGTTAGGGTGTGAACCGAGCCTTGGGGGCGACGCGAGAAGCTTCTCGGACCTCGTCTCAGCCCGAGTTCTCAGCGGGGCCGCAGCGCACCTCCCACAACCCACGACACTTCTGCTGGAGGAAGCCCGAGCGCCACCATGGACCACGCGCGCCCGGCCCGCTGCGGGCAGCCAGGCGCAAGTGCACGCCGCCTCTGCCCCTGCCTCCCGCCCCGCCTCCTCCCGCACCCAGGCCTCCTCCCGCGTCCATGCCTCCCGCTCCTCCCCAACCGGGGCGGCCGCCTCGGCCCCCAGCCCCGCCCCGCCGCCAGGCTCCGCCTCCCGATCCAGCGTGAGCCCAGCCCCGGGCCGCGGTTGCCGCTCCTGCCGCCGCGCGCTGGCCTTGGCGTGCGCGCTGGCCCGGCCGACCTTCCGGAGCCTCTCTTGGCCCCGCCGTCCGTACGCCGGCAAGATGGCGGCGCCCAGCGAACCCGCGGGCTTCTCTCGCAGCGGTCTCTTCTCCTTCCTGCCCGGCGGCGCGCGCTCCCAGATGACCGACGACGACTTGGTGACTGACGCGCGGGGCCGGGGCGCAGGGCATCGAGACGCCGCCGCCTCCGCCTCGGCCTCGGCCTCGGCCCCGCAAGGTTTGAAGCACGGGAAGCGGCCGTGCCGGGCCTGTGTGGACTTCAAGTCGTGGATGCGGACCCAGCAGAAGGTGCAGATGCCCCACCTGGCCGCCCGGTCGCGGTTCCCAGCCCCACACCGGGTTTCTCAGGGTTGGCTATGCCTAAACACGTCCATCCCCTCACCCACACACACCGTTAGGCTCGAACTTTGAGTTTTCAGCCACCGGCTGGCTGGATCGATTTAGTGGGCTGTCAACTGAAAAAGGGAGCATTCTTGTCAATTTTATTTTTTTGGTGATCCTGGGAATCCGAACCCAAGTCCTCTGGCGTGCAACGCAAACAGTATGCCACTGGGTTGGAATTTTGTGGGCTTTTGGTTGGGGAAGAATGAACTGACCCTTAGTCGGCCTACTTCTGCAGCGGGACATCAAGTTTAGGGAGGATTGCCCACAGGATCGGGAGGAACTGGGTCGCCACACCTGGGCTTTCCTCCACACGCTGGCCGCCTATTACCCGGACATGCCCACCCCAGAACAGCAGCAAGATATGGCCCAGTTCATACATATATTTTCCAAGTTTTACCCCTGCGAGGAGTGTGCGGAAGACATAAGGAAGAGGTAAGTGTGCAGTATCTCTGCCAGTAAGGCCCCTGATGGGGGCCTGGCAGATGTCATAAGAGGGGCCTAGGAAAATGGTTGCAGGAGAGAGGGGTCACCAAAAGGGATGTTGGGTCATGGGATCCTTCTCCTTTCTCCTCAAAAAGCCCAGTTCTGTGGATCCTTATCCTTAAGGTTTTTAGGAAGGGCTTCCTTCCACTTCCTAAAGATTGACGAAGATTCCACTTTGCCTAACTTCCCTAATCCCTCAGCGTGGTTACTGATTTTAAAAACGGGAATGAACTGGGTGGTGGTGGCACACGTCTTTAATCCCAGCACCGTGAGGCAGAGGAAGGTGCTTCTCTGAGAGTTCAAGGCCAGTCTGGTCTTCAAAGTGAGTTCAAGGACAACCAGGGCTACTCGGAGAAACCCTGTCTTAAGAAAACCAAGCAAACAAAAAAACAGGAATGAAATAAACTATCACTCTCAGTGGCTTAACCTGTGTTTCTAGGTTGGACCTGTTGGGCAGTTGTGCTTGCTATTTGAGGCCTGGACAGTTAGGAATGAGGGTGATCTTGCTAACTGGGCCCATGGTACTACGAAACACTCTCTTGGGCCAGGCCCCACCTGTCTCTACTCTGCCTGGGGCTAGAGACCATGGGACAGTGCTCCCTGATTGTTACAAGGTTGTAAAGTTGCCTGCCTCAGTCAGTATATCTTTCTCTGGGCTCTTGCCAAGTCAGGTGAATGAGTGAGCAGCCCTGGAAGTTGCCCAAGTTGCCCAAGCCCAGGAAACTCCAGAGTCAACCCTGCTCATCATCTGCTTGGAACACGAATGCATTCCCAAGTTTAATTCATAGCAGTGCCCCAGCTCCCTGTCTCTAGGCATTGGCAAGAACAGAGTCAACACCTCCTTACCGTCTTCCTGTGCTTCTCTCACAAAGGATAAGCAGGAACCAGCCAGACACAAGCACTCGGGTCTCCTTCAGCCAGTGGCTGTGCCGCCTGCACAATGAGGTGAATCGGAAGCTGGGCAAGCCTGATTTTGACTGCTCCAGAGTAGATGAGCGATGGCGTGACGGCTGGAAGGACGGCTCCTGTGACTAGAAGATTGTCAGCAGAGCGTGTGGGGCATCTGGCCAGGATCCATGGGCAACCTGGCTAGAGAGGGAGGGACAGCCTATCGATTAAAGTGCATCTGAGCCAAAGCTTTTCTTCGGTGGGGTGGGGGAGGTAGGGTCCCTAGGACACTGCCAATGGGAACCTTACCCACAAGATTGAGAAGTGGAGGTACCCACTGTGGCCTCCTCAGCTAAGGTGCCATGAAGATGAGAGGCATCTTTCCACAGGCTGCCCCATATCCTTTATAATGCAGCCTCTTGCCCATTACACAGTTTGGACATGGCTGCCCATAGGAAGACAGGCTAGACCATTGCCATCCTACTGCATTGCCAGGGGTGCCTACAGAACTATGCCATTTCACCGAGCTGTCTATTCTGCACTCTGTTCCCAGCTCTAGGAGGGTTTTTCTCTGAGGGTGTGCCCACCGTACTGCCCACTGCCTGCCTGGCACATGTTCTTCCACAGCTGTGACATGCCTGACAGCAGATGATCCTGAGTATCTGCTCCCTTAGGAGTTGGAGACCAAAATAAAATGAAGTGACGTAGGGCCTGGTCTTTGTGTGCTTTGTACTGATGGACAGGCCTGCTTTTGCTTTTCTGTGATTGGTTGGATCATTTTGTACTGGCAGAAGTCACTATGGAGCGGCTGAGACAAGCTCTTCGTGGAGTCAGAATTCCCAGGGCGAGAAAGAAGCTGAAGATGACTAGGACACTATGGGATACAAATGGGGAGCGGCCAGAGTGTTGGCAGCTAGGAATTTGGGGTACACCCTCCAGTTGGGCTCCTCTGGATCTGCTCAGCTCAGTTCAGTCTGTCCTTGGGCGAGGCTCCCAACTAGAGCATCCCAGCAGCAGTGTGTA